GAGAGGAAATACTTTAGGCTTTGTGGGCATGTGGTCTCTGTCACAAATACCCAACTCTGCTGCTGTGGAGGAGAAGCAGCCAGAGACAGTGCAGAGACAAAGGCTCTGGCTATTCCAATGACACTTCATTTATAAACCGTGGTCCACGGGCCACAACCTGCCAACCCCTGTCTAGATCACCCCAAGAGCTCCGCCTTAGAACAGACAAGCAAGCACCCTCCCCACATCCCCACAGCCCTCTCCAGCTACTGCTGCCCCCAGAGACACTCGCTGCTTCCCTGGCTCGCCCCCTCACCACCATCCAGGACCTCCTGTCCACCTGGCTCCTGTCCCTATCACTCACTGACCTCGCTCTGCCCAGGCATCCAGCTGACCAAATCCAATGCCCATGTCTGTTCTACCCTCTGTCCTACACACCTGCCCCTTTTTGAGAGACACTAAGTGTTGGCTTCACAGTCACCACCTCCCTGGTTTCCCACCTCACTTCTCTGGGGGCCTGTTCTCAGTCTCTGCTGGTTCTCCCTCTTCCTCCTGACTGCCAATGCTGGAACGACCAGGTCAGAGCCTCAGTCCTCTTAATCAACACTCTCCTCCTAAGTGAGCAACACAGGTCCATGGCGTTAAATACCACCTCCAAGCTGCTGCCTCCCAAACTCTCCTCTCCAGCCCAGCCTCCTTGAAACTTGCACATCTGTGTACCGACTGGGCATCTCCACTCGACCATCTAACAGGCACGTGCAACTTAGTAAGCACCTCCACCTGCTCCTCCACCTCAATGAAGGCACGGCCAGATGAGGAGTTCCCTTGGCTCCCCTCTTCCTCATCCCTCCTAATGATCCGTCAGCAAGTCCTGGTAGTTGTGCCTCGCATCTGCCCTCTGACCCCATCCCCATAGCCACACCACTATGCAAGGCTCTCACCACTCCCCTGGACAACCTCCCAATTGGCCTCCTTGCTCCTCTCTGCCCCCACCACCCATTCTCCGTTCAGCAGCCAATATGACTGTCACAAACAAAATCAGAAAATGTCACTCTTTGCCAAACCCTTCCCCGTGTACTTAGAGAAAAACTAAACTCCCCTCCCCAGCCAACAGGCTCTAGTGACCTGCAGCCTCACCACCCAGCCCTCCTCTCTGCTCTCTTCCTGCCTCAGGGCTCCCCACCTGCTCCTCCCAGGTCTCTGAATAGCCAGCTCCACCTCACCCTCTCGGCTCCATAGCATCTTCTCCTCTTAACGGACCCCCCACCAATCTCAGCACTCACCATAGCTCCAATGAGCCTGTGAACATGCTTACATGTTGACCAACTCGGTCTACACACTGGAGAAAGCAAACATCACAAGCACAGGTCCACACATCGTGGGCACCCAGTGAACATGCACTCTGCGTTCACTGGCGTGTCAGGGACACCCAGTGAACATGCCTTGTGCCTGCACTGGTACGTAGCGGGCACCCATTAAATATGTGTTGAGTGAGCCACAAGTCACATCACGTGGAAACAGCGACTGTGTCCTCTGCAGACAGCTTTGTCCTTCCACATGCTGCCCTAGGTCTAGGGTCTATGCTAAGTTCCTGGAGTCCTCACTTGGTCCTGCCTGCTGCAACCGGAACCCGCTTCTCCTAGTCCAAGACTTGCAGACCTTCTGGACCCTGCAAATACAGCTGAGTTAGGGAGGGGAGGTCATGGCAAGGTTCCCCAGGGTATCTGGGGTTAACCCAGAGAGTGATGCTCCTGGTCACAGGGATAGCACTGCCATTAGTATAATGGACCTCTTTCAGCACTGGCATCAGACCTGTGCCCTAGAGTGAGACTCAGTATCAAGTAAACACCTATTTTTAGTTAATTTCCAAAGTAACAGAACAGGCAACATTTTACACACCTTCCACCAACTCCTGACCACAAGAAGGCCTGGAGTCAGAACAGTGGGAGCAGTGTCTCCAGGCGCCACAGCCAGCCTTTTCCATTACCTGCCCCTCCTGCCCCTTGCACCTCTCCCTTTCCCCTGGGAGGCCCAAATGTGCTGCCTGGGGGGTTTCACTGCAACCGTGTGGCCTATTCCCACGTCACACACCTTCGAACTAGCATTCCCTGTTATTCACACTGCATTTCCTATAAAGTGCTCACTTCCAAACTCCCGTCCTGAGCTTTTCTTTCTGGCCCTCTATGAGGTATGTCCCTGGGATGTGACAAGGCTTAGAGCAGTGCCCTGCCCCCAGACTCTGATTCAACAGGTCTGCGTGGGGCCCAGGAACGTGCGTTTCTCACTACTTCCCCAGCGACGCCAGGGCTGCCGACTAGGGCCTTCGAGGGACACAGACCTGTGCGCCAATCCCAGCCCTGCCTCTCAATAGTTACGTCAGAGCCGCATGTGCACAGAGGTAGTAACACTGCCCACACAGAGGGCCACCGTGTGGACAGAGGAGATACAGCACAAAATACTGGCCCAGAGCAAGTGCTCAAGAAAGGAGACCTCATCTCCCACCCTGGATTACCAGCTCCGCTGCCCCAACAATCTTGGGGAGCATGTGGATCTACTGGCCCAAAGCCTCCCCTTTCTTAGGAGACTTGGTCGCAACCACAGAGCTCCAGGAGTGGAACCCTGGGATCCTCCCAGGCGATCCCCATCTGAACATCATACTTCCCCCGGGAGGTAAACTTAAAACAACTGCCCAAATCATTGGACAACTACAAAGAGTCTGCTTCCCACACTTTTCCCATTTGCCTCCCACGATCTGCACTCACCACAACTGGAAGCAAGTAATTAAGGAGCATCTGGTCAATACATGGTGAGATGTTGACAGAGTACTGTCAATTTCTTAAAAAGGTTAAAAACAGCAAAAGCTTACACATATAAATTTACATAAAATAGACTGTGTGTGTACAGGGAAAGAGAGAGAGAAGGTGAATGAATAAACGCATGCACACCTGGAAGAACAGATCTATATCAAAAATAAGAAATGCTCATCTTGGGATGGGTTCACCACTGATGCTTTTTCTCTACTGTAACCTCTGGTGAGTCCTCACTTCCTGTCATACACTGGCCCACTGAAGAACTCCGTACCTTGACCACACAAGGCACAAGGAGGCCGACTGTGAAGGGAGCACAGCGCACCCAGAACCACACAGCCCCTCACCCTGCTCCACTGGCCACAACCAACTCCCCACCACCTATCCCATCTCTCCGTGGGCCGCACTGTCCTCCTAGTCCTTCCCCCTCTCCCTCTGCCCACTGCTGGTCCTCCCTGTCCTCCTGGGTAAGCTTCACACCCCCAGGGAAGAGCTGCCCCTCAAGTTCCCCTCTGAAGCTGAGGACCCTACATCCCGAGAACCTCCTTACCCCACCTGTGGGTAAACAAGGTTACACTTTCAATGGTTTAAAAAGGGGAGTCAGGGGGCTGGCCCCGTGGCCGAGTGGTTAAGTTCGCGCGCTCCGCTGCAGGCGGCCCAGTGTTTCGTTGGTTCGAATCCTGGGCGCGGACATGGCACTGCTCATCAGACCACGCTGAGGCAGCATCCCACATGCCACAACTAGAAGGACCCACAACGAAGAATATACAACTATGTACCGGGGCGCTTTGGGGAGAAAAAGGAAAAAATAAAAAATCTTTAAAAAAAAAAGGGAGTCAGGGGCCAGCCCAGTGGTGCAGTGGTTAGGTTCGAGTGTTCTGCTTTAGCGACCTGTGGTTTGCTGGTTTGGATCCTGGGCATGGACCTACGCACTGCTTGTCAAGCCATGCTGTGGCCGGCACCCCGCATATAAAGTAGAGGAACATGGGCACAGATGTTAGCTCAGGGCCAGTCTTCCTCAGCAAAAAGAGAAGGATTGGCGGTGGATATTAGCTGACAGCCAGTCTTCCTCAGCAAAAACAGGAGGATTGGCAGTAGATGTTAGCTCAGGACCAGTCGTCCTCAGCAAAAGAGGAGGATTGGTGATGGATGTCAGCTTAGGGCTAGTCTTCCTCAAAAAAATAAAGCAGAGCCAGCCGCCCCTCCCCTTCTGCTAGGGCGTCCCCTTTGGTCAAGAATGGGATAAACCCAGTGTCCAGATTTCACAAAGCACAGGCACGCCCTGCCAACTCAGAGCTGTAAACACAGACCCCAGACGGGGTCAAGTGTCTCTCACCAGGTGCAGACTACGCAGGTGTACCTATTTTCCCTCAAGGAAACGAGAGGTCCTAACTGTTCTTTCTTCTGCTTAGCTATGTGTGAGCTGTGTGAAGCTCTGTCCAACTCTGCACTCTCTTGCAGACTCCCTAGTGCATGTGCTCTGCCAAGCTCACACAGTAACAAATCTGTCTCCCTTCCTTCCTTGCTGACGTGGGTTGGTTTGTGCTGGCAGAACGTTTATTCCTCAGACACGCTGAGATCCTGACGGAGCACCCCAACCCACGTTCCCACCCAGACGTCCCCCATTTCAGGCCACTGGTGTGCACAGCTTTAAATCCCCACCCTTGATCCCCCACACCTTCACTTCAAGCCCTCCCTATTCCCCCCATCCCCTCAAAGTCCTCAACACCCCCTAGGCCCCCCCATCCCCTTAGGTATCCATCATCCCCTCCAGGTCTCTACCATGTCCCTAGGCCCCTACCATCCCCTCCAGTTCCTCACCATCCCCCTAGATCCCCACCATCCACTTCGGTCCCCACCATCCCCTCCAGGTCCTCACCATCCCCCTAGATTCCCACCGTCCACTTCAGTCCCCACCATTCCCTCCAGGTCCCCATCATCCCCCGAGGCCCCCACCATCCCCTCCAGGTCGCCGTCATCTCCCTAGGCCCCTAGTGTCTCCTCTAGATTCCCAGCATCCTCCTAGGCGGCCGGCATCCCCCCAGGTCCACCCCGGGGCCCGTGCGCTTGTCTGTCAGCCCAGCCCACACCCCACCACCTTCCCCGTCCCGGGGGCACCGGGAAGAGGCGGGGTCTTCACTGTGGCCGCAGCGGCGGACAGCACTGTGCCAACGGAGGGCCAGAAGGGCTTTGGGCTCAGGTCTAGCCGCTTACCTGAGTCGCTGGGGAGGCCGGAGGACGGCGCGAAGCGGTCCCACGCCGTCTGACAGACTCCGACGCCGGGCGGACGCGGAGCCGGGTCGGAGGCGCCGTGGGCGGGCCGCAGCGGGCTGCGCGCATGCGCCCAGGGCCCGGCGCGCCGCGGTTCGGCCTCCGGCAGGAACTCGGCCCGCGGGCTCTTGGTTCCGCTCGGCTGCGCGGGGCTGACCCGGGTCCTGAGCGCCTATGCCTCGCGGTGTTTGCGCGGCCGGCGAGGGGCTGTGAGCAGCCGGTGCCCACAGCGTCTGCGCCGGAAGTAGTTTTAGTAAGTGCTTCCTTTTCCATCTCCCAGTTTAAAGAACGAGCAAGCGGGAGTCCGGACACCGGGTCCCGGGTCCTAGCCGGGCCGCGGTGTCCTCGGAGTCGGGCCGCGGCGCTGGGCCCTCCGTCGGCGGCCGACCCCCCCAACCCCGGCTGACCCCCGACTCCCCCTACCCCAGCAACCCTGCGTCCGCGGCCGACCCCCGACCCCGGGACCCCCCGACCCCGGCGACCCTCCGTCCGCGGCCGACCCCCGACCACGGCGACGCCGCCCGCCCCCCGGCGGCCCCGCAGCCCCGGGCCGGGATGGACAGGGAGACGCGCGTGTTCGCGGAGAGCCACTTCCGAGGCCTCCGGGGGCGTCTCCCCGGCAGGGTCGGCCGGACCCCGGACCGCGTGGACTTCATCGAGAGGCCAGACGCCTTTTCCTACGCGGACTTCGTCAAGGGCTACCTGCTGCCCAACGAGCCGTGCGTTTTCTCCAGCGCCTTCACTGAGGGCTGGGGCAGCAGGAGCCACTGGGTGACGCCGGGCGGGAAGCCCGACTTTGAGTACCTGCTTCGGCGCTACGGTGAGGACGGGCCCGCAGGCGGAGACGAGGGGCCCGGGTGGGACCGCGGAGGGCGCGCGCGAGTGGGTCCGGGTCGGATCGCGGAGGGCGCGTGCGAGGGGGCCCGTGTCGGACCGCGGAGGGCGGGGACGAGGGGCCCGGGTGAGACCGCGGAGGGCGCGCGCGAGGGGGCCCGTGTCGGACCGCGGAGGGCGGGGACGAGGGGCCCGGGTGAGATCGCGGAGGGCGCGCGCGAGGGGGCCCGTGTCGGACCGCAGAGGGCGGGGACGAGGGGCCCGGGTGAGACCGCGGGGGCCGCGCGCGGGGGCCCGTGTCGGACCGCGGAGGGCGCGCGCGAGGGGGCCTGGGTGAGACCGCGGAGGGCGCGCGCGAGGGGCCCTTGTCGGACCGCGGAGGGAGGGGACTAGGGGCCCGGGTGAGATCGCGGGGGGCGCGCGCGAGGGCCCGTGTCGGACCGTCGAAGGCGCGCGCGAGGGGGCCCGGGTGAGACCGCGGAGGGCGCGCGCAAGGGGCCCGGGTCGCACCGCGGAGGGCGGGGACGAGGGGCCCGGGTGAGACCGTGGAGGGCGCGCGCGAGCGGATCCCGGGTTGGAGCGCGGAGGGCGGTGATGAGAGAGCCAGGGTCGGGGAGCAGAGGGCAGGGTCCCGGATTTCGGATCCCGGATCCCGGATCCCGGATCCCGGAGCAGGGTGGGAGCGGAACTCGCCCACAGATGTGCGGCAGTGAGTTGAAGGGGAACAGGGCCCAGAGGACAGACATTCTCTGCCTGACCCTCTCGTTTCAGGAGACGTGGTCGTACCTGTCGCGAACTGCGGGGTCCAGGAGTACAACTCGAACCCCAAAGAACACATGCTCCTCCGAGACTACATCAGCTACTGGAGAGAGTATATCCAAGGGGACTACTCCTCTTCCCGCGGCTGCCTCTATCTCAAAGACTGGCACCTGTGCAGGTAAAGAGCCCTCCAGCCTGCACACGCAGGAGCTCTCTGCCCAGTGGGGCCTCTGAGTCCGTGTTGGGACCTGCCCTCTTCTGCACAGTGGGATTTCATTCTCTCGACGGTGGCCCTCTGGGACAGCTGCACGAGTGGGCCACTGTGAGCAGTGTGGGCCTCGCAGAGCCAGGTGGGCTGTAGTCACCACCTCTTCTTTGTCAGGTTTGCCCAGAGCTGGTGGCTCATGATGTCTAATGGGCAGTACCTGGCGTTTGCCATCCTCTTGGACGCCCCAGACTAGCCTCTCCTCTGCAGCACCACTTCTCCAGGTCAGGCCTGATCTCATCCTCGGCTGTGGCTGCCTCCTGACTGGCTGCCCCGCCTCGAGTCCTGCACCCGGCTGCCAGGCTTGCTGAGGTCGGGCAGGTCTTTCCAGCGGGACTGTGTGCTGGGTACAATCTCTGTCCCTGATGAGCAACAGTAGCTCTTTACCAAGGCTGTTCCCAGGCGGCCCCACCTGCCACACCCTCCTTCCACTTGGGGCTCGGCTGCTGCTGCCCTGGGAAGCACCTTGCTCTGGCAGGCGCTCCCGCTCTGTGAGGTGGTTCTCAGGTTTTTCGTCCATCTCCCCTGCCCAGGTATGTGCTTCTCACAGGCAGAGAGGGGTCGTAGTCAGACCCCAGCAGCTGGCTCAGGTCCTGGCATGGAGGAGGTACTCAGTTAACGTTGGACGAATGGGTGGACCACTGGATTCTTGTTTTCTGATGTGGAGATGAAGGCTCACAGAGGTAAAACGAGGCTAGAATTCAGCCCCTGCGATCCCCAAGACCAGTCCTGAAGGGCAGGAGATGCACAGGCCCGCTCACAGCGTGCCCTTGGCGCTCCCACAGTGCTCTTCTTGGGCACAGAGAGCTGGCCGTGGACCGGGAATCAGACGCCACCAGACGCTGGTCTTGACCCTTGGGGACACACAGACCCCAGCACTCATGCACTGTGGATTTGGGCTTCAGATAAGCACAAGTGGTTCTTTTGGTATAAGTATGTCCTAAGTCTTGCACAGGGCATACTTGTCCTGGAATTTGTTCATTGTTGGCTTGAGATCCAGTTAGACTGAGTGTCCTGTGTTTTCCCTGACAACCTTAAAAATAGAAAGAGCGGAGGAAGGCCTAGGTCAGACAGGCAGTGGTAGCCATGAGACGTCGTGTCTGAGCAGGGTTTTGAAGGATAAGTAGGAGCCTGTCGGCACACAGAGGCACAGCAGCAGCAGAACGGCCTGGCTTTTGGGGAACTGCGAGTGGTTTGGTGCTGTTGGGGCTGTGCTCTCCTCTGTCCTGGCCTCTGACCAGGAGTGGTGTGGGGTCCAGGGCCTTGTTCCAGCGTGTTGTCAGTAGAGCTGCCTTCTCCTTGGGCTGGTTTAGTATGCTCTGTGTTTGGGTTGTGGGAATGGACCGTGGGAGTGAGTGCTTGAGAGATGGGGGTGGAAGGGTCTCAGCATACAGGGCCATTCTGCTGGGGCCTGTGGCTTTGTGTCCACTTGGCAGAGGTCCATGTTGTGGTGAAAACAGGTATGAGACTCACGAATTTGGGGAGCCAGCATGATGCCGATGGTGCATTTAGGGGCCCAGCTCAACCAGAGGCTGAAGTCTTGGAACTGGCATGAGAGAGGCCATGGCGTCTGGGTCGCTTCCTGTGTGGGTTGCCTAGGCTGTGTCACAGCACCCCGGGCCGTTCCATCTGCTCTGGTCTGGTTCTGTCCTTTGGGTGGGGCTCAGCTGGGGTCTCAGGGCTGTGGTCATCCAGTGACTGGACTGGGACTGAGTGGTCCGAGGTGGCCCCATTCAGCCAGCAGTTGGTACTGGCTCCAGAAGGCAGCTCAGGGTCGCTCATGTTCCAAAACTGTCCTGACATCTCCTGTGTTTGCGGCGTGGTGCTGGTGCTGGGATGTGGGCTCGCACCACTCCTGCTGCAGCCTCGTGCCGCTCACTCTCCCAAGGGACTCCTCGGCGGAAGACGTGTTCACTCTACCCGTGTACTTCTCGTCCGACTGGCTCAATGAGTACTGGGACGCCCTGGACGTGGATGATTACCGCTTTGTCTACATGGGGCCCGCTGGCACCTGGTAACTGCCTGACTGCTCCCGCCCCTGTCCTACGTGCTGTCCCCATCACTCCTGGGCCTTCCTGCTGGTGCCCAGAGCCCCTGGGAGACCCATGAGCCGGGCCACGGAGTCGGTGCCAGGCCTGGCATTTCCAAGCTCACTTCCTATATTTGCTCCGTGGCCCCACCCAGAGCCCGAGTACCTCCAGCCCGGCATTCTGGACTGGGGGAGGTTTGGCCTGCCCACCTGGCTCATAGGCCACTTGTGATATCTGGGGACCTTAGGCCTCTGGGCGCAGCTACCTCTTCAGAAGGAGCAGAGCCTGCCCCCAAGCCGCGAGGCACCAACGGGAGCTCTTGCGCAGGTCGCCGTTCCACGCTGACATCTTCCGCTCCTTCAGCTGGTCCGTCAACATCTGCGGGAGAAAAAAGTGGTTCTTCTTCCCGCCAGGACAAGAGGAAGCCCTGCGGGACTGCCACGGCGGCCTGCCCTACGACGTGACCTCCCCTGCACTCCTTGACAGCCGCCTGTACCCCACGCGCCATCTCTGTGGCCCGCCACTGGAGGTCACGCAAGAGGCAGGCGAGATGGTCTTTGTGCCCAGCGGGTGGCACCACCAAGTTCACAACCTGGTAGGGTGGGCACTCCCTGCCCCTCACCCATGACCTGACCCAGGCAGGCCCAGGAGACAAGCCGCAGGGCCCCCAGGCGGCCCTGACCCCATTTGCCTGTGCCCCTCAGGCTGCCCGGTGGGCCTCTCCCTCGCCGCCTTCCTAGTCGGCTTCTTGCACAGAGAAGGCCATGCCCTGCTCCTGATCTCACAGGAGGCAGGCTGTTCCTCTGGGAGGGCCCGGCTGTGGGGTGGGGTGGGCCACACTGGCTGGTCCTGTGTGGGCCTCTTGGTTCTTGCGTCTAGCACTGCTGAGGCCCCAGCCCCGGTTTTCCTCCCTCCTGTGTTGCTTTCCTAGACAGAGGGGGCAAGGGGTCCTCACACAGTGGGGTTGTCCCAGACCCTCAGGAAACCCCGATCTGGGTTAGCTGTGGGCTCAGATGACCCAGCCCTGTTCCACTTCCTTCCTGGCCCGTACTGGAGGCCTAGGGGGACCTCAGGATGGGAGCGGGGACGGTGCCTGCTGTGGGCTCATGGGGACAGCCTGCGCCCTGCCCCTTACAGGAAGACACCATCTCCATCAACCACAACTGGGTCAACGGCTGTAACCTGGCCAACATGTGGCACTTCCTGCAGCAGGAGCTCTGTGCTGTACAGCAGGAGGTCATCCAGTGGAAGGACACCATGCCCGACTGGCACCACCACTGCCAGGTGGGGCAACCTGGGCAGCAGGGAGGGGCTCACCAGGGCCAGAGCCACAGCTAGGGGAGAGTGCGGGTGGCCCCAGCATAACCTACAGCTGGGGGACGGTGTGGGGTGGCCCCTGCATAGCCTGCAGTCTCGGGGGAGGGTGTGGGGTGGCCCCTGCTCAGCCTGTAGCTGGGGGAGGGTGTGGCCCATAGGCCAGGCTGCAGCGTTGGTGGCATGCTGGCTGCCGGTGGCATGCTGGCTGCCTATGTGAGGCCCATTCAGGGGCGTCTAGGCTGCGGAGCTCAGACCTGTCCTCGCTGCTGCCTCCTGTGTCTTGGTCTCCATCCTCGAGGGCTGGGCTGTGTCCTTCACAGCCTGCATCCTTCGTAGCCTGCACTCGGTCCACGGCTAGCAGAACTCTCCTGGAGCTGCATGTGAGCAGCAGCTCACTGGCTGCCCCTCTCTGGCCAGGTCATCATGAGGTCCTGCTCTGGGATCAATTTCACAGAATTTTACCACTTCCTCAAAGTCATCGCTGAGAGGAGGCTCCACCTTCTGACGAAGGGGACGGGCCCTGGGGAGGTGGGAGGCGGTGAGGGTGCTGGGTTGGGCCCCCAGCAGGCGGCTTTCGACGTCGGGCGGATTGCTGAGGTGCTGGCGTCCGTGGTGGCCCACCCCGACTTCCAGAGAGTGGACACTAGCACGTTCTCACCGCGGCCGGAGGAGCTCCTGCAACAGCTGGAGGAGGTCATTGCCGCCACCGTGTCCCTCTAGTGCATGCCGCCAGGGCCAGCAGGACACATCCTGATGGGACCCACAAGGCACCTGCTCCAGGGCCCTTTCTGGAAATAAAGCTCTGTCCTCCCATGTGGTCTGAGACGTGTCCCCTGTCTGTTGAGCCTTGTCACCTCAGTATCCCAGGCACAGTTCCTGTTCTTAGGGCCTCTGATACTGTCCTGGCTCCCATTGGCATCCTCAGGACCCGGAGCCCTGTCCAGAGGATCCAGGCCCCTCGTCCCCGTGAGGCCCTGCCAGGACTGGGAGCTCTGGCTCCAGCGAGGGGGTGGGTGGCGAGGTGTTGGCGAGTCGGACCTGTGGTCAGGAGGCTGGGGGAGCATGCTGGGGACTCAGGAGTTGGGATGGCCACACCCGCTCTTGGCCATCCAGAGTGACTTTGCAAGCAGTGTTTGATTTGACAACCACACTTCACACACTCATCCTGCCCCGTCCAGCTTCCAAACCTTGCACATCTCCTCTGTGCCAGGCAAAAATCAATCATTGCACAGTGTTCTATTTTTTAAACTTTGTACACTTATCTGCACCATCCAGTTTCCACTCCTTGCACACCCACTGCCACTCAGTGGTCGTGGTTTTAGTGTTCTCCAGAGGAATGAAACCAATAGGCTTCATGTAGAGAGGGATGTTGGGAGCTGATGAGTGTGACATCTGCAGGGCAGGCTGGAGACCCAGGGAAGAGCTGATGTGCAGTCTTGGGTCCAAAGGCTGGACATTCAGGCAGGGTATCTATATGTGGTCTAGAGGCAGAATTGCTGCTGCTTTGGGAAACCTCAGTCCTTGCTCTTAAGACCTTCAGCTGGTTGGATGAGGCTCACCTACATCATGGGAGGCAGTCTGCTCTACTCAAAGTCTGACAAGTTAAATGTTAATCACATCAAAAAATGCCTTCACAGCAACATAAAGACTGGCATCAACCAAACAGCTGGGCGCCATGGCCTGGCCAAGTTGGCACATACAACTGGCTGTTGTCATCCCTCCCCACGTGTTCTCTGAGATCCAGCAGCTACTCTGCCCCACCCAGTGCCTCCAACATTCGGAAGCGCCTCCCTGAGTAGTTGCCTTCTCATGCACTTATGCTGCACCTTCAGCTTCTACGCCTGCCCCACACACTGCCGTTCCTCAGTCGCTCTTTCCATACTTCCCTGAGTGTTTGAGCCACTGTCTGGGCATGCTGTGTGACTAAACTGCTCTGCACGCTATCTGGGTTATTCAGCAGCCACCCTGTCGCACGTCCTGTGCGGTCCAAATTCCATTATTTGCATGCCTGCTCAGCCATTTAGTCACTCCTTGCAGACTTGCTGTATATATAGTTCAACAGCCAGTGTTGACGTCATTCTCCAGCTTCACACTTTGCACACCTGTTATTTGCCATCCAAAGTCACTATTTACACACTCGCCATGTGCAATTCAACAACCAATCTATGCAGGTGCATTTTGCTCCATCTAGCTTTCACTTCAGCACACCTGCTGCATTTGACCATTGCTCCTCCCCTGCTCACCGTCAGACTCTCGTCTCTTGCACCCACTGTGTGCTATTCAACAGTGTTGTGCCCCCACTGTGCCACAGTGGCTCTGAACACACTGGGGCCAGGTTGGCAACAACTCTTCACTATTCTCCTTCCAGCTTCCCTCCTGCATAGCTGTTGTGTGCCATTTGATAGTTCTTGCACACTCTGCAAATCAATAACCATTCTTTGCACACTGCCAATTCATCACTCTTTCTTTGCACAATAATTCTGCACCACCCGCTAAGCCATCAGTTACCTATTTCACAGTCAACATGTGATCCAAGCACCACTTGTTCCATTTCCCTCCGTCCTATCCACTTCTTGCACGCCCACTTGCATTCAACAGTATCTCCTTGCACAGTCCCTTTGGGCCCAGCAGGGGTGAGCCCTGCTGTGTGTCTGGGTGACACTTGTAGCCATCGGGGAGGAGGGGAACAACTCAGAATCTCCCCACGATTCGTCTTGCTCTTGCCTTTGCAGACCATATACTTGGGATGTTGAAAACACCGAGCAGGATGCGGGCTGGGGGCTGTGCCTAGTGCTAGCCCTTTGGTTCCTGAACTAGGGGTCCTGGGAGGGCGTTTGAGCTCCAGGCAGTGTGTGTCCCCTCTCCCCGCCTGGAAGCATTCCAGTATTTGACTGATAAGGCTGTGTCCACTGCCCGTGGTCATTAGTCCTGATGGTGCCCTCCTCCCTGCCCAGCAGGCTGCCTCTCAGCCCTTCCCGCCCCGTGACATTCAGCCCCAGCTGGAGAGGAGTGACCACAGGGTGCTGGGGGCCATCTGGGCCATCTCGGTGAAAGCAATTGTACAAGGCATTGCAGGGCAGCTGGAAATCCTCATCGTGGGCAGCAGGAATGCTCATGGAGTGATGCCCAGCTGTAGCCCTAAACTCCATCACAAGCCTTTCCTCTGGATAAGAAGTAAGCAGGAAAAGGAATTATGAGGTCAGAGACAGGGTCCCAGGAGGATCGCATCTGGGTCTGGGCCCAGGGGACTGAGAATGGAAAGTCCTGCCCACCTCAGCCCGTCTGCAGATCCCCTTCCTCTGACCTTGTCCTCCACACTGTATGCTCTTATGTTTTGCAGTTTTCCCCACGTAGGGCTGATGGGACTCCAGAGTTTGATCTTAGAAACTACGGTTTCCCGATTGGTGGTCAAAAGATACCTCAGCAAAAGCAGCAGAAGATGCTCCCTCTTCCTCCAGAGTGTGAAGGCAGCCACTGTCCTGGGCCAGGAGGAGGTCCTGGCAAGTGTCACTGTGAAAGACACCCATGCTTCAGCGCTGGTTGCTCTGTCTGTGAAAGTACCTCTAATCTCTGGGTCCCAGGATTCTGGAGCACTGTCTCAGCTCCTTGTCTGGTTCAATGATGCTGAAGCACACATGTTCTCTGAGTCAGGGGGACTTGGGCGTGTCCTTCAGCAGCAGAGGGTGGCTGGCCCTTCCCACTTCTCCCTAAAATAAATGGATGACCCTGCAGGACTTCTTATTGGATGAGGAACGAGAGAGTCTGTGTCTCATTTCAACACAGGAAGTGAAAGAACAAAACCACAACTCCCAGGCTATTGTAGAAAGAGGATTTTAAGATCATATTCAAGTGTAGCCTTTGCTATTTACAACAAATATTGTCCCAATCAGTAATTTTTTAAAATCTTTTATACAAAAATTCACTCTCTCACCACCTCCAAAATCTTGCCTTCCCACCGGCCCCACCCCTTGTGGTTTCCTAAAGCCCTTGGTGCCTGGCCCTGGCAGTGGCACGAGAGAATGTCAGTGGGACTCAGCCGGCCCCTCCTTACTCACCCGGTGGAGAGCGACGTGTGTGAAGGGGATTTCTCCTCTCCTAGGGGAGGGGTGGGGAGAGGGTTGGCAAGATACTCACTCTAGTTGTTCTTGATGGGATCTGAGATTCTATCTAGCCTGAGAAAGGCTACAGGGCTGGGAGGCAGGGCCAGAACCCCTAGGAGGGTCATGAGCAGGTGCTATGGACACGAGGAGAGAGCTTCAGTCAGAGCCAGTGGGTGGGCAGGTGCTCCGGGTGCCTGGGGACAGTTGGCAGTGACCCGTACCTGCAGAGGAAGAGCGAAGTGTGCTAGGGCAGTGCCTGACAGCAGGCAGCCACCACGCCACACATCAGCACTGCTCAGCTGAAGTCAGCTGGTCCTCTGGCTCCCACGGAGCAGCAGGCATTCTGCGGGAGTCCAGGTAAGCCTGCCAGTGGTCAGGCGTCATGCCGAGCGAGAAGAGGGGTCCAGTGGTGAAACCAATCCAGAGGTGTCCCAGGCCACTCCAGTCGGTAAATGTTTACCCAGCCAGTCACACCCTGGAGATGGCAGTCCTGAGGCTGGCTATTGCCACAGGTCAGTTAGAGGATGCTCTTTGTGAACTAGAAAATGAGCCAAGTAAACCTGAGAAATATCAGAGCATAGATGAATGTCAGACAGCAGAACAGCAATAGAGAAAATCAGCAACCCAAAAGCTGTTTCTCTGAAAAAATGGACTAACCTTTAGTGAGACTGACTCAAACAACTAAATCAGAAAGAAACTCAGGACAGCACCACCTGCCCAGTCTTGAACTGGTGCCAGGAGAAGGTGGGAGGACAGCAGAGTCAGAGGAAGCCCCAGGTGGAGGTGCCCACCGTGGCCCCACAGCCCCACCCCACGCAGCCCTTGCTGGGGGTCCAGCCCATCTGTGGAGGAGGGAAAAGTGCTCCTGAAGCAGGAGAGTGGAACAGGTGCTCACTGTCCCTCCCTGACCTGCAAAATCACCCTCGAGGGGACACCGAGGCAGGGCCTGGAGGACTGCTGTCCACTCCCTGATGGGGCCCGGCCCCCAACCTCTCCCAGGGAGTGGAGCTTACCTCCGCAAAGGCTGCCTCAGCTGGAGGGTCTGCCCTCTGCTCCGCTCAGGGGTCGGGACCCCAGTGTCCCCCTCAGACTCTGCTGGCTCCCAGCAGTGGCCACAGGAAGCCTGGCCATTGAGAGTCACTCAAACACCTCCTTCAAGCACATAGGGAAGAAGTCTGGACCAGGCCCCACCTCTGCCACCCCAACCCCCGGGGTCCCCAAACTTGCTGTGCTAGGCCAGCCCCATCCTGGTGCATCCCAGTGTGTCCCAGTGCAAGCACTCATGAGGGTGTGGCCTGGGGGAGCCCTCGGCAAGGGCAGCTGATCAGTAGCTACTCCCAAATCTCAGGTCACACAACCCCTCCTCAGGGAAGCCTTCTCTGACCCCTCCCCCTCTCTCCCCAAACACGGCCTCATCCCAACAACTTCCTGCCTTGTCTGCTCCTCCATAGTCTCCCTCCCCATACTGGGATTCCATGAGGGCAAGAGCCAGCGCGACCCGGGTCCTGCCGGTCTGGGAGAGTGGGTCGCAGTGGTTACCTGGGCTGACTGGCCTTCTTGGGCTTCCCTGTGTCACTTTGGGGCCCCTCCTGCCGAATGGCCAGGGGCACTGGGATGTGGGCTGAGCTCTTCTGTACCTCTGGCCAGCTCTCCCTCGGGTCTCCTGCGCCCAGAGCCTTGGGAAGCGGAATACAGTGGGAGGATGTCTTGCCCACTGCTG